GTCCCCACCCATCCGGTGGCGCCAATGGCGTTCCTCATGATTATAAACTGGTGGTTCTGGCACGTGATGATACCCATCAAATATGTTAGCCTGTTACCCTCGTATTCACCAACGCTCCTCGACTCGACTTTCACTCTTCACTTGACAGAGCTGCGCACTGCGCCGCTGCTCGGCTGGAAATGACGCTGCGCTACTGAAGAATAGCAGCAAATTATCGCTGATATGCAGTGACTTGCCCTGCCTAGAGATGGCGCTCCCATCGGCTTTCCCAAGTGAAGGTGGAGCGTTGAGTGAAGGGGCGTTCTAGAATACGGGGGTTACTCTCGCTTCAGAGCTGTGATTCTGCATACACGCTGCATTTCGGGCACGAGTCACACCGCGAACTTGCTCGCCCCGGAGACGTTTTTGTTGAAACGCCGCCGGTGAGCGGATTCCAGCCACGTGCCCCCTTTCTTGATCTTTTTTCTTTTGTTTTTTCTGTCCGTATACGGCGCCCGTCATTAGGGACATCCTGCGCAAATACTTCCACCCAATCTTCGACATGCGCGTAACGGGACGGTCAGGAACGCCTACCGCTGCCGCACATGGCGGTGTTTTACACGTGCGCTTTTGCCGACGGGTGCGATGTTTTCTCTCGGCGTTCTACACTCTGGCCCGGGTCGGATTTCACTGCTCGTGCTACTACGGCATGATGGCTCTTAGGATCAACAAAACGCTGATCTGTCGCGTGCACGCGCGCTCAGACATCCACGGATCTCTCGTTCGTTGAAACTGCGTGTGAGGAAAGGATATAAGAAAAAAAAAACTTTAATTCATAAAGGTTGGCTCGAAGTATCGTGTGCTTCGGGCCGTTCCTTAACCCAAGACATCCCTGACAACACGTTCGGAGAGGGCGCGCGCAAGAGATTAGATTAGACAGACAGACAGACAGACAGACAGACAGACAGACAGACAGACAGACAGACAGACAGACAGACAGACAGACAGACGGACGGACGAATAGATAGACGGACGGAAGGACAGACAGACAGACGGACGGACGGACGAATAGATAGACGGACGGAAGGACGGACGGACGGATAGACGGACGGATAGATAGACGGATAGACGGACGGACGGATAGACGGACGGATAGATATACGGACGGACGGATAGACGGAAGGATAGATAGATGGACGGACGGATAGACGGACGGATAGATAGATGGACGGACGGATAGACGGACGGATAGATAGATAGATAGATAAAAAACATAAAAACATAGGCCTTGTACACTGACCGATCTAGACAGCTGCTGGCAGGTACTCAGCCGAAAGGGAGACAGTTTTGCTCTTATAGGTTACTGACGATTCGCTGTCTCGGGTGTCTGTCTAAAAGGATATAATTAGTTAATCACAAGGACGGCTTACGAACAAATCAGTGGAAGGGACTAGAGTAGAGAGGATTACAAAACACACACTTACATCCTTTTCTGCGCAGCTTAAGATATCTGCTTTGTAGCACAGTCGAAATTCCCACTAATCGGACCTTGACCTACATGAAAACAGATATGTAGGCGCATTGAATTGGTCGTTGTCGGTGCGTTGTTTTCCGCGTTCGATATCTTTACAGGATTAGATGCGAAATGGTTCTTTAAATCCGAAGCACGTCCTGGATGTCACCGAGCTCGTGTGTGGCCGGCGGTACGCACATAAATTATCGAAGCACTACGTGTACTCTCACGATTCCACGAAAGCGTCACTAGACTAGCAAGTCAATTAGCAATGCTGATTGCGTTGTATACGCGTAGATGCGGACTCTGCGCAAAATGTCTTGTTTTTTGTTCCCAAACAAAGGCCGATGCGTCCCAGTGTTTGCATTCAAGCAGGCGTAATGTCTTTGGAATAAAATAGATCGAATGGTAATTCAAGCTTACGCTCGGGCTCCTACATTATGCCAAGTCTAACCACATCCTTCTTTCTTCGTCCATGACCCTATTCAAACATGTATTTAAGAAAAGACACAAAAGGCTCCGACATGAGCCACAGGTATATATAGACAATCGAAGCATTGTTATGGGCGATTAGTGCACTATCTACGACGTTAATTTGATTTTTACATCTTGAGCTGACTTTTGTCAACGTTGATGCCGATTTAGAGCTGTGCTCAACTTTCTAATTGATATGTGGGGTTTAACGTCCCAAAACCACCATATGATTATGAGAGACGCCGTAGTGGAGGGCTCTGGAAATTTCGGCCCCCTGGGGTTCGTTAACGGGCACCCAAATCTAAGCACACGGGCCTACAACGTTTCCGCCTCCATAGAAAAATGCAGCCGCCGCAGCCGGAATTCGATCCCGCGACCTGTGGGTCAGCAGCCGAGTACCTTAGCCACTAGACCACCGCGGCGGGGCGTGCTCAACGTTCTGCTACAAGAGTTAGTTTGAATAATAATAATAATAATAATAATAATAATAATAATAATAATAATAATAATAATAATAATAATAATAATAATAATAATAATAATATAGTGGGAGAGAATGCAACTCAAGGCTATGTTATTGGAACCGTAGTCGCCTTCAGTCTCGAGGATCTTGCAACAATAGCCGGAATGTAATGTCCTGTGGTGGTACGATGATACGCTTCATCGTGAAAGCCGTCCGTCATAGTGAGTTTCCGCCCGCTCGAGTTGCCCATAAAAGGAGTATGTACAAGGGAAGGGGGTGGTCAAAAGTTCCCAGGCCACTATCCCATGTATTTCTACGGCGGCGTGGTCTGAAAACGTTTAACCATACGCTGTCAGCGTCCCTCTCCGATGTTAACATTCAGTTTCTAGCTGGACATTATTTCAATGAAATCGGAGACGACACACGAAAATGATGGAAAAACGAGCGTCATGGGATATTTCACAATTGCGCTCACGGACACGTTTTGGCGCGAATGGCAAGGTAATCATGCAAGAATAAGATGTAAAATCCTATTCCGTTGCGAAATGAGGAAAAAAAAAATGGCAGCATATCCACGGGGTGAATGATGGAGGGTGGGGCTAAGCATCCGTCCGTCCATTGGTTCTTGCTTCCGGCCGTCCATGCGTCCGTACGTGTGATGGTCCGTGCGTGCGTCTGCTCGTGCATCCGCCCCTGCGTCCGTCCATGCGTCCATCCGTCCGTGCAGCTATCCGGGCGTCCGTCCATGCATCTGTCTGTGTGTCCGTTCGTACTCAACACTCCAAGTACCACCATCTCGCATCTTTTCATCATATATTCCGCATTATAGTTACTGTATATGCTACCTAAAGGTAGCATATACAGTAACTCTATTCCACATATAGAAGCACCGCCATACAGCGGACATTCCAAGGACTAAACGAGAGGTGGCACATGCACACTTTCTTACGGCTTGCGCTTCGTGTCTATATACTTCCCACCTTTAACAACCTCGAGTTCATGGTATATACTAGTTCACTGTATTCATGGCACTGCGGCCCAACGCTCGCTAAACCTTTCTAAAGGTTGTCCAGCGAGTATAACGTAGCAACCCTCTCTTGTCAGATAGCGCCCAATGTATATGCCAATGGCTGCTAATGGGGAATGAGAGACAGGAGGATTCGGCTTTTAGTTAACGCGCACGCTGCGAATGTTTTATTGTTCAACAACGCACAGGAGAAATCTCCCACCGGCACCCTCATGGAGGTCAAAACGTAAGACGCACTACGACTACGACGAGGGACGAACGGGTGCCGTTTTAAGGAGCTTCGCCCCTAAAAAAAGAATTACGCCAGACCGAGTACAGGGTTCAATCACGCACGAAAAGACGGGTGTAAACGAAGGAACAATACATTTGTGCCGAACTCGGGATACAGAGAACGAGCACGGGCCGTCTCAAGGGAAAACGCGTCGCGTGGATGCTTCGCAAGTTCTTTTCTCGGCATCTGCGCTGGATCTGGATTGGTTGTCAGCCCCGCCTCGCGCACGTCCCCGTAAAAAAACAAACACGAACAAAACGCGCATTTGCAGCAATGGAAACAGCTGTCTTCCACAACTTCAGACTGCTGCCGTCTGTATGCGCACCCATGCCACAAAAGAGCAGCTGCACATACATTGTGGTCCGTTGTTAGAGGGAACACGTGAATGTATACAGCATGCGTGAACTTTCCCCCACATTTACACCAAGCAGCAAACGCTTGCGGGTCGTGAAATGTTTGAGAAAACTATTCTCGCTCTGTCTGATAACGCGAACTCAAAGTCAATGTTCCAGTCTGTAGTTGGCATTGAAACATATGCAGTCGCCAGCCAGATTAGTATAGCATTGCGCACTAATAGACCAAAAATTTACAATTGTTGCGTAGCCAACGTCCCGTAAACGATTGCTGTCAATTGGACGTAACACAGGGACACGAAACAGGAACAAGTGGCGGACGACTGCACCATTTTTTTGTTGCTGTGCAGTGAATCGACATCACTGCCGTGAGCTATAGTTTTCGTTCACCCTCGCGCATATAGCCTTAACCAGCACGTGCAGCTGCAGTGTTCATTGGCGTCACCATGGAACAATGGGGTAGAGGGGGGGGGGGGGGGTGAGCTGCTGTTTAGCTTCTCCTCCCAGATGTTATTGTACAATCGCTGTGTTTGTGTGTTGTCTTCCACGCACGCACACATACGCGCAGCGAGTGGACTGCAGGCCTTTTAGTGAGCCCAAGATTCAATAAGGAATAAATATATCGAAAGCTAAAGATCCTCGCTGATGCGACTTCACTTTCTCCTCGTTCCCACGCCGTTGTGCCGATGTGTGCGGCTACGGTTACGCGGCCACGTCCTGCCGAAAGTGTACACACTCGCTTTTCTTCGTGGACGTTCCTCGGACCGCTTGTAAAACGACTACGCAGCAATAACAATAACACACCAAGCGCACGCTGTTTGGAAAGCGCGCGCGTCCGATATCGCGAGTTCGCAGTGGAAGACGATGAAGAAGGAACGGCCATGCACGTGCAGCCGCCGCCATTTTGATCACTGCGTTCCGGCAAGCCGCGGCTCATTGCAGCGGCGCTTTCGAAAGCCGCGAATCACGGCTGCAAGGGAGCGCATTCCTCGGAAGCTCGCTTCGGCTCTTGCAGCTTGAGTCACGCTGCGCTTGCAGTGAGAACCCCCGGGCATCTCTCGGCGTCGCTCAGCGTCTTGTCTGCGCAGCGTCTCGACCCCGGCAACAGCCATGGAAGCGGTCACGTTCGCAGATACGGAACAAGAAGTCACTTCGCTGTGAGTCACCGGCGAACCGAGCCGCAGTTCTCCGTGCCGTTTCCGCAACGAGCGCATGGCGTCCTTTTCCGAGGGAGGGGAAGGTAGGGGGGGTGACCGCCCTTTATTTAATGGGCGCTAATTTCGCTCCAGTCCTTTAATCTGTCGGTTATTTCACGTCATTTTTTTAATGCACCGGGTTATGGCTGCAGCATGTATTATTATCATTTTTTTTTTTTCACAATAATGGCGAGCAAGCATCCCTGATGATGTATCCAAATATTTACTTCCCAAGGTTACGCCGAAAAGCCGGAGATCAATGGCAGGCCTTACTGAGAAGCATGCCATCCCTTCACTTTAATATTTGCATCCAGTGCGGAGCTCGTTTTCTTTCAGACTAGACCAACGAGATGTCTATAAGTGGGTAGGTGGTGAAACGTGCCTTCCCCCTAAAGGAGAACAATACGCACGCCTTTGAGCGCAGCCACCAATCGTTTCTGGTGTACAACCAACAGGTCCAGTGTAGTGTGGCTCGCGGTTTTGCGAGTTGGTGCGCGGTTCATGGAAGGCTACACTGGCGATTGTTAGGATCAGGGAAGTCTTCTAACAGGAACTGAAAGATTGCTGGAAGCAGTCAGCCTTCCGCGCACTCCTTTGTTTTCTAGCTCACTCTTTTCTGGGATCCTTTCTTTCTCCGTTTACCTTGTCATGCGAAAACCAGAACGCGCTTTCTTCAAGACAGACAGATATAAGGAGCACGCAGCCTCATGTATTCTGTGGTATCTGTATACATGGGACATAGCTCGCGTTCGCGAATGAAGCATTTTACCGATATTGTAATGCGCGGCTTACACAAGTGACCGTAAGTTATAATTACTGCTGACAGAGTTGTTGACAGACGGTCGTTTGCCAAACAGAACCTTGCTGTAGGCTGTTAGTGTTCACCGTCTCTTGTGGAAGGATCTTTGAGCTGCGGTTTGCGTATGTTTCAAATGCGCCTTGATGAGCAAATGCCTTCTTGGATTTTTAAATTTTATTCGGTAAGTGCGAGAGAGGGATTCAACGGTTAAGCCACCCTTGTGTATATTTGGCATAACTTTTTTCTTACGGTTGTGTTATTTGATCGATTTGTGGGGTTTAACGTCCCAAAACCACCATATGATTATGAGAGACGCCGTAGTGGAGGACTCCGGAAATTTCGACCACCTGGGGTTCTTTAACGTGCGCCCAAACCTGAGCACACGGGCCTACAACATTTCCGCCTCCATCAGAAATGCAGCCGCCGCAGCCGGGATTTGAACCCGCGATCTGCGGGTCAGCAGCCGAGTACCTTAGCCACTAGACCACCGCGGCGGGGCTACGGTTGTGTTATTCATGGCGCTGAGGAATTAACTCATCGTTAGAACGCGGCTATCAGAACGACAAAACTAGGCAAATTTTTGTAATAAACAAACAGTAGGACCCAAATAATTTAGTCACAGGCCTGTACATCTCTCCTGACTTCGGTGTTCTCGTAGCCACCGGAAAACTGGCGCTCGTGCATTATTTTCTTCTAGTCAGTATCGCAGACCACGAGGACGTGATTTACGTTCGTTACTTCCGTGCCGTTGACGCCACGCTTTACGCATGAGCTCGTGCACCATCGAAGCACGCTGGACGAAGGTAGTCTTAATGAGTCACACGCCGAGTACTCGAATTGACTGTTCGGCTGGGAGCAAAACTTAAGAACGGAGTCACGACGACGGCTGTACACGCTTGGGATTCGGCTCCGAAAGGAGCCGCTTGCCTATCACGTGCGAGGCCCTCGCACGAAAAGTTCTCGCAAAGACAGAGCGACGATGAAGGAGTCTCTCTTATTCAATACCTTTTCTTTCGTCTCACGCTTTCTTTCTTCTCGAGCACAGCAGGAAAGGAGGGCGCGAGCGCACCTGTGCGTGCCTGCAATGGCAGCTTGAAAGACTAGACTCGCGGGCCGCGAACGCTAAGACGAATGTCATCTCGAAAAGAAGGCGTACTCTATCTGCGGAAAACGCCTGCGCAGCAATAAGGTGCCTGCCCCGTTGGCGAGTCGAGCCCGGCATTTCTCGAAGGGGCGGCGACCCGCAGCACGCATGTACTCGTCCCGTCGAGATGGATCTCAGCAGGTATATACACGACGCCCCTGGGGTATTGTTGCGCCACGGCCGGGACTGCCCTTCAATTTGGCGAGCGGGTACCATTTCCTTTGCGACGGTATACGACTCTCTCCGGCTGACGAGACGGGTTTAATGATGCGCGCTTCGCATCCGAGCCGTCTAAATTGTTTCTAAGTAAGGCAAGGTTAAGCAAGAAAAAGTCCCATCGCGTGATGTAGGCGTCACGGGGAGATGCCGCTGCCAGCGTGGCTATGGTGTAGCCGTATATCAATTGCCATCCTACCGCGAGGAAACATCAGGAAGGGAGAGCGCGCCCGACGGTCTTTCAAATTTTCTCGACCTCCAGACGAACTTTGCGCTCCGCGGCCTTGTCATTTGACGTTGGTGCTTCGCAATTTTTTTTTTCGCAATGCGTTTTCAAGTTTAGAGTGGCAGCCGTCTTCAGAACATGGAGGCGGAAATGTTGTAGGCCCGTGTGCTCAGATTTGGGCGCACGTTAAAGAACCCCAGGTGGTCGAAATTTCCGGAGCCCTCAACTACGGCGTCTCTCATAATCATATGGTGGTTTCGGGACGTTAAACCCCACATATCAATCAATCAATCAATCAATCAATAAATCAATCAATCAATCAATAAATCAATCAATCAATCAATCAGCCGTCTTCAGAACAACCATGGCGAGAGACGCCGGCTTTCTGATTTTCGTGCCGAGAGACGTTTTTTGTCCTCGCGTTCAAAAGGAACGGAAGGAGACACCGAGGTGGGCAGTGAGTACCAATCTTTTACACCCTCAGGAACAGGAGTGCATTCAACTCAACTCCTTTTGCAGCATTAGGGGAGGGTAATTGAGCTCCTATACCTACTCCTGCTCGCGTGCAGGCAGTGGGAGGTGTGTGATAACTCTAATCTGCAGTTTCATACGGTATGAACACTCTCGAAAAAAGGAGTAGCTAACACCGCTTTTGTAGTTAAGGCGTAGAATGTTCTTCACCACTTTGGAAAGCGCGTGTGGGCGTGTTTTAACTTTCTCGACAATCGGAATCGTGATGGAAGTAGTGTCGTCATAAGCACGCTAACAAGGGGGTTGATAGGGTATACCGTCGCCCCCTTAGTGATTGCAGGGGGGTGGGGGGCACCATATCTGCCCCATACATTTGTTCTGGCGGCCCTACGCCATCATCTTTACGGAATTGTACGGAATTGTAGTACGGAATTGTACGGAAAGTACGGAATTGTAGTAACTCAGTTTTATAAATTTTTTTTGCCACACTGCAAAGCCATGACGTACACGGAAGCGATCTCGATGCGCTGTACACACGCGTCGGAAGACATTGAATTGTTAATCTTCCTCTCCAATTGTTTACCAACTTTACCTCGAGCGTGACACAGCTGGTTTCTATGGGTGTCTGACGTATCTGAAGCTGGTTTGACTCGCCCAAAGCTTCTGCATTGGCGCAGTCCCAGAGCTTCAAGCTTGTACCGGCGTCTTGACACGAAGAACTGCCTTCGCCAATCACACTTGTCTTGCTAGCCATAACTTCAAAAATACCTGCGCAGTTGACGTATTTTGAGTGCCCAGCTTAAACACCGCTCGAACAGCGTGTTGTCTGTACTCAGTACCGAAGCCAGAGATATTTTTCGGGGGGGGGGGGGGGGGTCAACAACACTTTGTTGACACCTTCCCCCAGATATCAATACTTTGTTGATATATATATATATATATATATATATATATATATATATATATATATATGAGATCTAACAGACAGTAATGCCAAGGAATGTACCGGGGAAGTTATTAGAACCAATTGAATGTAAATAAGAAGAAAGAAAAGTGGATGAAAAAATAACCAGCCGTTTCATCCACCTTTATTTTTTCATCCACTTTTCTTTCTTCTTATTTACATTCAATTGGTTCTAATAACTTCCCCTGTACATTCCTTGGCATTACTGTCTGTTAGATCCCATTAATATTGTGTTAAAACACGGAAAAACGAGCCCTTAGGTATACACTTCTTTCCCTTATTTTATATATATCTTTGTGTGTGTGTGTGTGTGTGTGTGTGTGTGTGTGTGTGTGTGTGTGTGTGTATGTGTGTATGTGTGTGTGTGTGTGTTGTATTTTCCATGGCAATGTTGCATTTTCGATATAAGCAGAAATGTTATTAGAGGCTCGTGCACTTAGCTTTAGGTGCAAGTTAAAAAACAAATCCCAGGTGGTCGAGATATCCGGAGCCCACCACTGGGTTGAGTCTGTCTCATAATCATTGTACGAAAGTCTGAGGGCCTCGTTTTCTTTGTCAATCACAACTAATTAAACCATCACACATACGGCGGTTTTGAGCCGTAAAACTAATAATTATCGCTTCTTAATTAGTGCGAGAGGTGCACGTCCGACTTCCAGCCGCGGCGTATGCTCAGGAACAAACTGTAGTATAATGTATATGGAATAGTATATGGCGCGGTGTCTGTGTGTTCCTTCTAATGTTTCGTAATTTTGTGCTGGTAAATCTAGCTTAATAGTATGTTGTATACATAAAAAAAGGCACAAAGAAATGTCCGTACGCTCAAACTTACGGCGTCTTGCCGAAATTACCCCCCCCCCCTTTTTTTTTTTCAATTCAGCGTTTCCTCCCGGCCAATTCGTTGTTTCGAGGCGATTTCAGTTTTTGGTTCCTCATTTTGTATACTACATTTAAAGATGGCCTATCTCCTCTGCGCAGGACCCAGCAGTTCATCATGGTCAGCTCCATGTACTGCCAGCTGCTCGTCGTCATTTGCGTGGTGTTCTTCACATCCGAAGTGGTGACGTTTAGGGTGCCCCTCTACTACTTCGAGGTGAGCTCCGCGATCACTATAGGTCTATATACCACGTACACCACGGCTTACTATCCCGTGTTGGTCCTCCTCGGTTAGTGATATCGAAATACGCCAGGACACCCACGCATGCGCAGCACCCGAGGCGTGGAGCATGACGTCACGGAACAAACGGGATAGCCCTCTGATTAAGTACAGTAAGGCGCAACGCCTTTGCGCCACGGCGCCATCTGCAAAAGTGCTTCTGGTGAACTGTTGTCACTACGTCACAGATATCAAATGAAGTAATAATAAGCGTTGTCTGAAGCGCCGATGCATCAACTCGCACTATTAGTGAAAACGTATTTCTCCAAACTGGTGCTTTGTGTTAAGTGTATACTGCTTAATGGGCAGTTTTCATCCGACAGTTGTAGCGTGTGCCTTCAAATAAGAGCTAATAACGAAACTTCATTAACCGCTCTGTCATTCGTTGTGCAAGGTTTACTTACATTTAAGAAAATTAGCTGATTAGACAGGGCCTGTTTTTTTTTTTTACGTGATAAAGGTGATGCCCGCTATCGGTTGGCAAAAAGGGCTCGTATATAGTTGTGCATGTGCATCGTGCAATGCGAAGCGTTCAGGTTTTATTTTTTGATCTCTCTATCTTTCGTTTCTTGCAGATGTCCTAAAATCCTGATCATGCTTTATTAAGCAAGCTATGATGATGAAATTAATGGCGCTACACCTTTCGGAGTGTAATTTCAAAGTTGATTTATTGTTTAGTGTCCATATGCTTGAGTGGATCCGCTTTAGTGTCTATTTAAGAAAACTGTGCACTGAAAGTATACCGAAGAAATGTTGCCCCTGCTCCGTAGCTCTCACTATCGTCGCATATGTAGTGCACTTTATTTGTTGTTTGTGTTGTTCTGCTCGTTAAGTTTACTGCCTTCGCCACTACCGAGAGCGGTGACTCACGGCTGCTTACAAACGTCGGCTTGATCGAAGGCCGCCTGCAGCCCCAGATATCGAAGCAGTATACTTTATTTTCGGCAGCCAACTGTCAGACGGCGCCTGGGAAAACGCTCGACAGCTGTTCCGTCGTCACAGTTGCGTTTTCTACGACGTGAATTGACTGTGCTCCACTGCCGGAAGTCCCCGCTGTTTGACGACAGCGCCAGGGAATTATCGAAATGACAAACTGTGAAATGACAAATGGTATTTCGGTCATTTCACAGTTCGTCAAGTGATGAGCGTAGCGCTTGCAAACAGGGATCTTGTCATCATAGCTTCGAATAGCAATTAATTTTTATTTATTTAACCCCTTCACTCAAAATTATGATGTCCTGTCAGAAACTCGTCAAATTCGCGTGGCATAATGACAAAGCAGTCAGTATTACATTCCAAGTAATAAAATAAAGGAAAGCAGTTTTGTGTGAGATTCAGTAATTAATTAAAATTAAAGGCTATGTAACTAATAATATATTATTCTGCTACCAGTCAGTTTCAGTACTTGCATGAAAGTGATCCGCTATCAGGCCTGAAATGCATGCACAGTCTATTTTTTTGGTCGTATTTGTGTCGAGCCGAGAGAGAAAAAATACTTTTCACGTTGGTCCCAGAAAGCTTCGCGTCGAACAATTGTCTAACATGGTAGTGTGTCCAGCAAAGTGATTTTCTGCAGCTATACGCAGCATGATAAAGTTAAATGGTCACTCGTTGTCCACTCAGGAGGCCTGTATAAAAAGTTTCAAGCCATTCGATGAACGACGCGGTGCGTGACGTGCCATTGAAGTTGGCGTGTACATTTGTACGAACCGTGACTGAAAGGGATTTAAGACCTTTTAGGGGGCAATATAAGTTAAAGTCGGCATTTACACGAGAAACAGTACTGTGGTCACAATGAACAAAATGAACTTGAATTACACTATTCGTGTAGGCGCGTGATACTGGTGATGTTCTGGGAAAGGCCATTCAGGTATTTTTATAAGATAATTGTGGAGCAGAAAATGTTTAAAAATGGAAATATAACATTTGAAAATGAGGGCAAAAAAATAAAAAAGGGGTTTAGGAGTCTACAGGCCGTGATGCAGCGCCGAATTGGCATCACGGTCAACAACACAAATTCTTGTCCAGTCGAAGACAATAATTAACTCAGGTCCCGTTGAGCAAATGTTCACTCTAAAAAACTATCGAGTAAAAGGGGTGTCTTTTTTGTCCCACAGCAATAACCATGTGGCGTGTTTACGCTTCCTTTCTTGAAAACTCGGCGCTAGCTAATTTTTTATTAAGAGTAAATGACTTCCGTGACCTAAAGTGCCGGGCGCGCAGCGATAATGCAAGGAAAGGAAAGTAACACAGATGAAAATACTTGCCAGAAAGTCGCCTCTTTATAATGTTCACTTCCAAAGCTAGCTGCACCATTGGCTTCATGTGAGTGTTCGTTAATTAACAAAAGATATCATCTTTAATATTAACGCAATAGCGTCAAATAACTAGTTTTACGGAAATCCCTGTGTTGGTGGCGGCGGCGTTATTTGCGAACGAAAAATCTTGTCATTGAGCGAAACATCGGAAAAGCTGCAAGTAGAATAAATAACAACAAATCTCTGGATCCAAGTGAGGTGTGAACCAAGGCTGTTTTTGTGACAGTCGTGGTGTTCTGCCACTGAATCACACTGTTGTAACTCCAGAGGCACATCGGTAAACCGTGAATCCACCGTAAATCTTGCCCTGTAGACCATCATGTAAACACGGCGAACACGCGCTGCAGCCGTTATCCAAGCCCTCCGCTCCGCCATCTTGTCTTCGTCGCTCATACTCGAAGCACACACACTGTCGGCGAAAGAGGAACCGCACCAAGAGCGAACGCATTGTAACGCTATATATATAGAGCGAGCGCGGTCTCCTGTCACACGAGAGCAAGCATCGAATAAAGCCCCTAGATCTAGAAAGTAGCGACACTCTCCTCCGCGCGCGCGTTTTCCTCCTCAATTCTCCTCGGATTTCTCCCCTCTCCCGGCCGGCGCGGTGCGCACGGCACGCTGAACCCTCCACTGGCGCGCTGCAGCCGCATTAGATTCAATGCGCGCGCTTGTTTAATCGGCTCCTTGAAGCATTATACGAGAATATGTCCCTTAAGAAAGAGTCGTGACGAAAGTAGGCTTCCCATAGAACATTATGGCAGACATATTTTTTAAGACGATTCGATAAATACGAGCGGAAGCGCTTCGAAAAAATGAGCATACCAGCTGGCGGCTTAGCGGTTTACCTCTCCGTCGCCGCTTCGGCTGACTGTAACGCGGATGTGTATTAAGCGCATGTAATGTAGGCAGCACATTGTATAGACGAGAACTTGATAAGTGCTGCAGTGTCGCTTTGTAAAATTCATGTTGTGTTGGCGAAAAGTAAGCATAGAAGTCACCGTGCGTGCCTGGCTTCCGTCACGATGAAACGACGAGATATTGCATTCCATTAACTTTGGGACTTACCTCAGTCTGTTAAAAAAAAAGCAAAACCCACCGCTCAGATGGAAGCTTCTAAGACTATGTTACGCTATAATTAACTCACAGAATTCAGGATGTAAATTTTATCAAAAGAGAGCCATTACGAAAAGCGCGTACGTGGCTCTTTCTTTATATGAGCATACATGCATAATACATACAGTACAGAAACGCGCGAACACACAGGCGCACACATACACACACACATAAGCGCGCATATGCAGTCGCATACATACACACACGCATACACGAAGGCGCACACATGCACACACATAAACGCACACCCGCACGCACACACACACACACACACACATGCGTAGGAATTACACACGTTAATTTACAAATTACACACATTAAGAAAACTAACGCACGCGCTAAAACACAAGAAAACTATCTCAGGGCACAGAGAATTACAAAAAAAGCTCAGCGACTCATTCAGACCCAGCTATATCCATATTTATATGTGCTCGCTATTAAACTGAACGGAGAGTCCAGCGATGCAAAGAGCATTAAAATCTTCGTACGACTTTATCTAGAGATTTAACAAAATCGGTAACACTAACCTCGCAAAGAACGACGTGTTTAGAAGGGGCGAAGTCCTTTCTCCCGATGTTGTGGATCCACTGCTTTCTGCGCACGGCATTCCTATTCCTATCTCCTCGGGGGATATAAAATAATCTTACTCCTTTCTCTGACCTGCTGCTGCACTGATACGCGCAACAGCCAGGCATTGCCACGAAAAACGAAGCTCATGATTCTACGCAAAAAAAAAAAAAACACACACACACGTTTAGAGCGGCAGGGCTGGCGTGGCGCCTGGAGGGTTCATGGCGTGCGTGATTGACGAAAAGCGCGCGAAGTTTGCTTGCGCGCGCTTTTCGTGACGTCAGGGTCATCTGACTGGGCGGTATCGCCCGCCGCAGCCATTCAGCGCTTGGGATGCGCGAGCTCCGCGAAAGAGGGGGTGAAAAAAGAGGAGGTTGCCGGCGCGCCGAGAGAGTGCCGGCGTGGATAAAAGAGCGTCGCTACTTTCCAACATCTAGGGGCTTTAGCATCGAAGTGGAGCAAGCGCCATCTAGTGAACGCTATGAGTACTAGTGATGGCTATTATGCCGACGCAGGACTAGCCTACACCCTACATGGAGCTTCGGCCTTAAAAGGAACAATGAATGTCACTTGGCGGAAGGCGTCTCCTTCACGCATCATATATTGCGTAGCGTAAGCGTAGAATCGCACCAGGTGTCGCAACATGTTAATTGCGCAACAATGATGCGTTTGTAAGGCCTACCCATTACAAAGTGCTCAGAAATTTAATCATCATCAAAAACATAAACGAATGAACAGCTGCGTAGGTACTCGTGTTGCCTTACGAACGTGTAGTGTATCGAGTCATTTGTTGATTTGAAAAAAAAAAGTATTATGGCGCGCTGGGCACTTGACAATTGTTCTTGCAGTAGGCAATCTATAGGACATTTGCAAGCAATCTATAGGCGATCTATAGGACAGTACTGAGATTTGAGAAGGCGACGCGCATGACGCCCG